TATTCAGCTTAGGAGTTTTTATTTCAAGTGGTAATGTAGTTATAGGGACATTTTTTTTAGTTTTTGTATCAACTGGTGGTTCAAAAATGAGGATGAACATACATTAGTACAGTATTTATATTTAGAGTACATATTATCACACACACACACAAAAAAAAATGGATTCTAACTCTAGACATATGATGACAGTGTCACAGTGACCTAGTACACAAAAGGTAGATTTAGAAAATCTAATAATTGCAGGAGCAGATGACACATGCCAAATGTTCACGCTTTCTCTCCATATTTATATTGATTCCCATCTTCCTTTGCGGGCTGCACAGGATACACTAATCATTCTTTCCACAGAAACTACTTATCTTAGCTTCGCCACAATTTATATAACGATTTGATTGGACATAAATTTTAAAATAATATTTTTCTTAAATAAAATTTAAAGTCTAAACAGGACATAAATGATAAATATTCTGAAATACTCTACAAGATTTGTATATTATCGGTGAATATACTTAGCGGGCGTTTGGACATAGGAATTGTAAAACTCTAAAAAAGGTTGAAAATTTTTTTCAACTGAAAATGATATTTAAAATTTAGAGTTGTGTTTGGACATGGATATGATTTAGGATTGGTTTTTGAAGTTTTGTGAGTGATTTGTTTGAAAATTTTGAAAAATAATTTTTTAGAGTTTTTAAAATTTTTAAAATTTTTCAAAATGTATCTTCAAGTAAAAATTGAAAATTTTATGAATAAACGCTGATTTCGGAAAAAAAAAAATTCCTTATGTCTAAATAGGCTCTTAAATCCTTTTCTTATATTCTTCCTTTTTATCATTCTTGTTGTGTCCCTTTCCCTGTTATTCTTTTTTCCCTTTTCGTACTTTTCTTTCCAAAATCTTTTCAGGTTCTCGTGCTTAGAAGCAGCAGTTAGCTGTTGTCCTTTTCTTCGTAGATTCATATGAGTTGAAATTGTTTAATCCTTCAATATTCATATTGGGGTGTGCTTTAACTTTTAGCCCCCTGCTTCCTTATGGCAGAACTTAACATCAAAAGTTACAAGTGTTGCTAATGAGGCAAGCGAGGAACAACATTTATTATGCTTGAAGTTCCGTCAATGGGACAAGCAGAGATAAAAATTTCAAAACCACGTACTTTGAGGGTTGGCTAATGGGATGCCAAAAGTCTTCCTCAATTGAGTTTCATATTGAAATTACTTTTAGACTTTGTTGGAGTAGAAAATTGTAAGAATTTACTAATTGGAAACTATCATCTATATCAATTTATAAGTAGCTTATTACAAAAATTGGCTAATTCATAAAATATTACTAATATTAGCCAACTATTATCAATATTAGCCAAAAAAGGGTCAAAATTTTGATTTCTTTTGAGTGAGTGTTATTAGAATAGATTGGATACATCTTAAGGATCTTGAATTTCAGTCTTGGGATAATTTGATGGAGTTTGAGGTGGTTTGAATTCAAAATCCGAAGTAGAAGATGAACATGAAAAAAAAATTGTGTATCACACTTTGTATCATTTATGTATCACATATGTATCATATGTGTATCAAATGTGTATCATATTTATCCATGTATACCCGTGTGCAAGATACATGTGTGATACATGTTTGATTCATGTGTCGCTGAAGAATTTTTTGAACTCGANATATATATATATATATATATATATATATATATTTGTATTTCATCACCTTATTTGCTACCTCATTCGTGAAATTTCGTTTCCGTCATGCATCTAATGTTGCTAATCACACTTAGAAATACAGAAGGAGTTTTGCTTGTCATTCTTGGAGAGAATAAATATTATTTATTTGTATTTTTACTTTTTATCTGTGATTGGCTAGTTTTGTAAGTCTATAATTAATGATTAGAGATTAGTAAGTTAAGATTTATTTGGGACATTTATGTAAGATTCCTTTTACTAATATGCCATCTTATGAACGTTTGAATGAGATGATTCATTGGGCTCAATGAGGCATAGCCCATCATCACAAAACTCTTGTACTTGAAAGTGACTCACGATAAAACCCATTCGTCATTCTGGGCCACTCTAAGCCCACATTAGTTCTCGGACCCTTCTCCATTTTGGTGAAATTTTTGCGTCAAAGTAGCACGGGCTAGCCAGTTTTCGGATTGGTCATTTAAAAATAATTAGCGTTTGCCAAGTCATTGAACAATAGTCACTATTTTGCTGCAACAGAGACCGGTCCAACAAAATATACTGGAGTTCGGTGCACCTGCGTATGAACTTCCAGCATATTATCTTGGTTACTTTGCTGGCTCCAGTATAATATACTGGAATTCCAGTATATTATGCTGCAGTATTTTTTGGATTTTTAACAATGTTTTCGTTCAGATTTATCTTTTGAAAAGTGGCTGAATTTCGATGATTTTTAAAAAGTGGCTATTTTTGAATGACCAATTGTAAATCTGATTATTTTTGAATGGCCACTTGTAAATCTGGCTATTTTTGAATTTCTCTCAATTTTCGTCGGTTGTCTCTTTGTATCAATTGTTTAGTAATTGATCATCTTTTTATTCTCTTGTAACTTCTCAATCTTTCAGATCACGATTATTTTGTTATTGAGCAAATTAAAAATCTTATGATAAATTGTTAGATTTTTTTTTTTGGTAATTAATTTTATTATTACCAGGAAAATATTTACAAGTATAACAAAAAATTCTCTCAAAATTCACTTAGATTTGGACATGCAGCCCCAAATATAGTGCCCTCATTCCTTCATGACTACTCAGCTACAATATATAGATAAAAATTGAACTCCTGCAATTTCCTAGCTACCTTACAATTTAAATTTCCTCGACAGTGCACCTCTTGGACTATCATTCTGATTAACTTTCCACAGCTCCTTTGTGTTCCTCGAAATGTTCTCCAATTTCTTTCCTGCCAAATGTAATACACAGCACAAGCTAGCAGCATTCTATAGATTACATATATTTGTTTCTTCCCTGCTGCATGTCTTACAGCCCATTGAATTTCATCATTCCACCCCTGCACATTTCTTGTTATTCCCAGCCATTGTAGCAGTTTCCTCCATATTACTGTTGAATAGTTGCACTTGAAGAATAGATCATGGCTTTCTGTTACTCTTCCACATAGCGAGCAATCTGAACAAATTGCTATACCCCAGCCCAATAATCTGTCTCTCGTGTACAGTCTTCCAAGAATTGCCAAGTACAAGTTGAATATCCATTTTGGGTTGCTAATGTTGTTACACATTAATCTCTTCCGTTCCACTTTAGGTAGTTCGCCTCTGAGCTTATCATATACAAGCCTGATAGAGTATTCCTGCATGTTCATCACTTCTTCTATTCCTATACTTGCCTCATTCAAGTATTTAGTAGCACCTAAGATTTTCTGAGTGAGCCAAGCAGCTTGTTTAATCTTCACATTCCATACTACTTGTTGTTTAATATAGTACGTGTGAATCCATTGTATCCACAAGCGTTTCTTCTTCTTGTTTATATTCCATAGATGTTTGATCAAAGCAGCTTTGTTCCATATTAAGATATCTGTTATGTTCAAACCCCCTGCAGATTTTGGCCAACACAATTGCTTTCAAGCTACTAGAGCTTTAGCCCTGTTCTCAGTTTCTCCTGTCCATAAGAACCTTTTGCAAATTGTTTCAATTCCTTGAACGATCTTCTTAGGCAGAGGGAAGATTTGGGACCAAAAAGATTGAATAGCAAACAGTACACTTTTGATCAATTGCAATCTCCCTGCATATGAGAGGAATTTGGCTGTCCAGTGCTTGATTCTGCTTAGCATCTTATCCAGCAAAGGTTGACATTGAGTTATGGATAACCTCTTAGTACTCAGTGGGACTCTTAGATACCTGAAAGGTAGGGAGCCTGTAGAAAATCCTAAGCATTGGATAATTTGTTGTTGGATATCCTCTGTAACCCTTCCAAAATATATGGAACTTTTGTCCTGGTTTGCAATCAGACCTGAGGCTCTTGAAAACTGATCAAAACACTCATATAGTAGTTTAATGGATACCACATCACCCCTACAGAACAACAACAAGTCATCTGCAAAGTTGTTGCAACTTCTCACACCTGGGATGGTAGTTGAAATCAGGCTTTTCCTTCAGAGTATTTAATATTCTAGTGAGATACTCCATGGCTAGGACAAAGAGATATGGTGACGATGAGTCTCCTTGTCTAACTCCTCTTCTTGCATCAAATGGTCTTGTTGGCTTTCCATTTACAACTATAGTAACACTGTAGTAACACATGCCATGATCCATGAGAGAAACTTTCCTGGGATATTCATTTCTGTGAGCACTTGTTCAAGGAAATTCCATTCTATGGAATCATACGTCTTTTGCATATCAATTTTTACCATACACCTTGGTGATACATCCTTCCTCCCATATCCTTTAACAAGTTCATGTCCTAGTAGAACATTATCACTCAATATCCTACCCGGTACAAAAGCTGCTTGACTCATATCAACTAGGGACCCCATTACTGTTTGCAATCTGCTTGTAAGCATCTTAGAAATGATCTTATATATGATAGCACAACAAGATATTGGTCTGAACTGTTTGACAGAAGAGGGGTTTTTCACTTTTGGGATCAGACTGACTGTTGTGCTATTTACTGGATTGTACATTAGCCCTTCATTAAAGAACTCCAAAACAGCTTTTGTAATATCCTAACCAATTATGTGCCAAGTCTTCTTGTAGAAGTATGCATTCAATCCATCCCCACCTGGTGCCTTTGAGTCTCCTATCCCCTGCAGTGCCTTCATTACATCTTCATTAGTGAAAGGAGATATAAGTTGTAGCTGCTGAGATCTTGTAAGCCCAGGTCCTTTGCTCATTATACTAGGATTGATAGCAGGTATGCTATTAGTGGAAGTCCCTAGCAGTCCTTTGTAGAACCCCACAATTTCTTGCTCAATATCTTCTGGTTTGCTGATCAGTCTTCCCTTGTCATCCTGTAGGAATTTTATCTGATTCTATGCTGCTCTCCCTTTCATGCTTGCAAAGAAAAAGGCTGTGTTGGTATCACCCAATTGGAGCCATTGGATTCTAGATCTTTGTCTATAGATGCTCTCCTCTATTGTACTCCATTTTTCTAGTTGATTTTTTGCATTTCTTTCTGATTCAAACATGTCAGCTATTGTTGTAGTGGTTCTCATCTGTGCTTGAATGTTGGCTAACTCCTCCCTCAATTGTTGAACCTCGTTTGTTGTACTGGTAAATTCCCTTTTGTTCAGACTCTTAAGGGCCACTTTGACACTTTTTAGATTGTGCCAGATGTCTTTCATACTTCTGTTCTCCTTATTCCATATGTCTCTAATTATACTATCAAAATCTGGATGCTCAGCAAGACAATTAAAAAACTTGAAAGGTCTCCCTTTATGTTCCAGTTCTACTTCCAACTCTATACATAATGGAGAATGATCAGAGAACTGAGGATCCATCACATGTACTTGCATTGGAGGCATGTTTATCATCCAGTGTGCATTGACTATGGCTCTGTCGATTCTACTATAAAAACGGCTATTTCTCCATGTATAAGATCTACCCACAGTTCCAACTTCATTCAATCTGCAGTCCTCCATTAGAGATCTAAAGTCTTTGATCTCATTTTCCTGTACCACTGTGCCATTTACCCTATCTTCAATATCCCTTATTGCATTAAAGTCTCCCATGATTAGCCAGGAGTTATTCATCTGAGAATCTATCCTCCTTAGTGCTTCCCACATGTCACACCTATGAGCAATGGTATGCAATCCATAAATGGCTGTAAAAGCAATTTGTTGCTAGAAACAGCTATTTTCAACTATGCCATGGATGTATTGAGCATGCTTCTGAATCAGAGTGAACTGAATACTATTAGTATCCCATAGAATTCATATTCTTCCTTTCTCATTAGTTGAACTATTAGAACACCAACTCCATCCAGGTGCACATTTATTGATGATCTCTTTTTCTTTATTGGTCTGTACTCTGTGTTCTACTATTGCTATAAGACTAATTTTATGTTTTTTCAAGAAAGTTTTCATCTCCTTCTGCTTATGTACCTTATTGAAGCCCCTCACATTCCAAGTGACTATCTTCATATAGATTTTGGATTAGGTGGTGCTTTCCCTTCTTCTTCTCCCATCCTATTTCCAGCTTTACCATCATCTGCCAACTTGTACTGCCTTCCATTGTTTCCTCTCTTAGTGGAGAGAATCCATTATTAGTAGTGAGTACTTGATGTATTGGACTTGTCATTCCTCATCTGCCTTTAGCTTTTGTCCACCCTTGCAGATCTGTATTGGGCTTCTGTGGATCATTCTGTTGCTCTTGAGCTATTTGCTTGCCTGTGTCCTTCCCTATTTGTTTTGTTGGCCCTACTGCCACCCATTGAGTTACTGATTTCTTTGACTGCTGCATATTATCATTTACCTTGCCATTCCGTCCTTGTTGTTTAGGCATTACTGGTCTTTGTTGCTGCTGCTCACCTTGCATATTACTTTTGGTAGCTCCAGCTATTCCTTGTTCTCCCTCATAGTCATGTCCCACCATCAGACATTTTTTACAATACTTTGGCACCCAATCATACTCTACCAGTTGTTCAAACTCTTTCCCTGCAGGATCTTGTATTTTGATGCTTTTGGGTAACTCCTTACTGATGTCCATTTCGATAAGTACTCGGGCATAAGAAATTCTAGATGCATTACTTGTACATTCATCAGCATATAGAGGAGAACCCAGCCCACTTGCAATTCTACTTAGAGTCATCCTTCCCCAGCAATTCAAAGGAAGATTAGGGAAGCTCACCCACAGTGGAATAGTCTTCAAAACTTCATTATACAGATTGAAATCTTCTGACCATGACTTTAGGATCAATGACTTTGCTCCCATTATATATGGTCCTGAATACAGGACTGCATTTTTCATCCATGCTACTGAATAGGATAACGAAATAACCCTCATTGTGATAGAAGATTGCAGGTTTCGCAGCAAAATTCCACCGAGTAGCTATGAATCTCTCCATGGCTCCTATTGAAGGTGAATCTCCAATAACATACACTATTATCGCCTTTTGCCATTTCGCATTTTCCACTTCCATCTCTTCCTGTTGCAATTGAACTTTTTTGACTCCATCATGAATGGTAGGAGGTACGAAAACCAGATCCATTCCTCTTGCAGCCATTCTGTTTCCAGTGAATAAGTTTGTCTATTTTTTCTCATTTTGCCCAATCTCTGTTTTAGCCGCCTCTGGATCTATTGCCTTTGTTGAACTCTGACTCTGTGCTTGCTGTTCCTTAGGAAGCTTTGTTCTACTCGTTCCCTCTATGGTGTTCTTCTCCTTCATACTACTTGTTTCTTCCATTGATGAAACACTAATCAATGGAACAGTGCTTACTTCGAAATTCCCCATACCTGTCTTCCCAGCAGCTGGTTGAGGTGTAGAATTCCTCATGCTAGGGCTTGAAGTCCCAGATCCTGTGTTAATTTCAGCTGCATGTTGCTCGATCCTGCAGAATTTGCCGAGCTCACTGGTGTTCTTTTGTCACAACTTAGGGCTACTTTTTGGGAATCAATTTCACAATTCCTCCCCAGGTTTCCACTTGTACTTCCTGATGCTATGAATTCAGCTAGCTGAACCTTTGTTACCATCTTCTTTGGTCGTCCCCTCCCCATTTCCGATTAGCGCAGGAGCATGCACGCAATCGTGCGCCGAGAAAGAAAGTTTGTGCTATTTATGCATTTATTTGGTGGACTGTAACTTCCTCAGAAACATTAAAAATTGTTAGATTACAATGTAGAAATTTGTAAGTCATTGCAAACATTACACAATAGTCTAATAATTTGCCTGTAAAATTGAACAAAGTGAAAATTGTATCAATAAATATTAGACCCGAGTCTAACGCATAGATAATTTCCTCAAGATTATGTATGCACAACTTTTTAAAATAGAGACAACTTCTAAATAATAGCCTAAAAAGAAACATCTGCGCAAATAAACTGAAGAGCAATCCAGTGTCATGGGTCCTAATTCGAGTAATGAGTCAAAATCTCTGACTCTTTAAATACCTTGTTGAGCCTTCTTTGCTCCACCTTTAACTATGTGAAAAAAGAGTTTAACCAAAGAACCTGGTTGTTTCACATTTTATTTAGGCAGGATAGATCGGGATGAACTTTAAGTTGGCGACTACAAAAAAACCCCAATTACCAACAATAAAAATTGTTGGTAAATTGATCAAATTGGTCGGCAATTTGAGTTACTAACATATTACCAACGGATATCGGTCCGTTGCTAAAAGGCTCGAAGGTAAATTTTACCGACCAATTTGAATTCATTGGTAAAATTACCAACTAAAAATCAATTAGTAAATACCAAATGAATTTGTTGGTAATTTTGAATCTTGAGTCCAAGATTTTCGTTGGTAAATCTACCGACCAAAATTTGGTTGGAATTCCGTTAGTAACTTTACTAACAGATAGAAAATGGATTAGTAAATTTGATTTTGCATTATTTAAATTGTGTTTGTAATCGGTTGGTAAATATAGTAACAAGAAAAATTTCGTAAGTATTCCGTTAGCAACTATACTAACGGATAACAACTTAATTAGTAAATCTGATAGTATATTTTTAAAAATACGTTGTTAATCGGTTGGTAATTTTAATAATGGAAAAGTTCTATTGAGTAAATTGTTGGTAATTTACCAAAAAATTTCAAATTCGTTAGCAAATATAATTATTTATTTTTAAAAATTACGTTAGCAATTTGTTAGTATTTCGTCATAAAATTTACTAACAAATTGTAAACGTTTAGCAAATATTACTAATTAAATGGGTATATTAAATTTTTTATTTTTAATAGTTGTATTAATATTAATTTTAAAGCTTTAAAAGATCTAAAAAACACATAAACAAAACAAAAAACATACTAGCACTTTATAAATAATAATAACATTTATCATGAAGTTGAAATCAGAATCCAAACGTGTCTAACATAAAAGAACCTAAAATAAATCAATATGACTAGTGTCATTATTTGACGACGAGTCATGTCGCCGAGAAGGCGATGTAGGTAAGCCACCTATAAGGACCGACAGACAGTTTTGGAGTAGTTGATCAACTTGCTCGCACACTTCTTGTTGCATTTCATGTCTTATCTCTTCACACAGTTCTTGTCGCATTTCTTGTCTAATCTTTTCTCTGATCTCTGATCTCATCTCATGCTTCATCTTTTTTTTTTACAACTTGTTTGGATGGTTGTTACCTATTGTATTGTATCGTATTGTTATTTTAAATACGATGTTTGTTTTGATTGTTACTTAAATTTTATTGTATCATATCGTTAAATTTATCGTTACGTAATGACAGAAAGTACCACTTTATGGAACGATAGATTTGGTATAGTAGCGTCGTTACCTTGATTTTTCTCTCAATTTGCCCTTCCTTATTATTAAATAATTATATTTTATCATTTACCTTACTTTATTATATGATAATTCTACTCCATTCCTATTTTTTCTTATTAATGTTTCTAGTTTATTCTTCATATTGTTGGTTGTGACATCATGAAACGACGACAAATAATACAATTTATCCAAGATTGTATTCATCATGGCTAGTTTTATAAGTCTATAATTAATGGTTAGAGATTAGTAAGCTAGGACTTGTCTGGGACATTTCAGTAAGTTTCCTTTTACCAATATACCAGCTTATGAACGTTTGAATGAGATGATTTCATTGGGCTCAATGAGGCGTAGCCCATCATAATAAAACTCTTGTACTTGAAACTTAAAAGTGACTCACAATAAAACCCATTCGTCATTCTGGGCCACTCTGGGCCCACATTAGTTCTCGGACCCTTCTCCATTTTGGTGAAATTTTTGCCGGTTCTCTTTGTATCAATTGTTTAGTAATTGGTCATCTTTTTTTTTTTTTTTTGGTTTTCCACTCGGTATCCGGTACCTGCATTGGAGCCCGACTATATCCGGATTCGCATCGCGTAGGGCCCCTTTCGGGGGGAAGCGCTCCCTACCAAGGATTTTTCCATACCCAGGGCTCGAACTCGAGACCTCTGGTTAAGGGAGGAGCAGTCCCATCCACTGCACCACATCGTTTGGTGGTAATTGATCATCTTTTTATTTCTCTTGTAACTTCTAAATCTTTGAAATCACGATTTTTTGTTGTTGAGCAAATTAAAAATCTTATGAGAAATTGTTAGATCACAATGTAGAAATTTGTAAGTTATTGCAAACATTACACAATAATCTAATGTTTTGCCTGTAAAATTGAACAAATTGAAAATTGTATCAACAAATATTATACCCGAGTCTAATGCTATCCGGAATAGATAATTTCCTAAAGATTATATTTGCACAACTTTTTAAAATAGATACAACTTCTAAATAATGCCCTACAAAGAACCATTTGCGCAAATAAACTGATGTAGCATTCCAGTGTCATGGGTCCTAATTCAAGACACATATAATGAGTGAAAATCTCTGACTCTTAAATAGCTTGTTGAGCTTTCTTTGCTCCACCTTTGTCACGACCCGGAATTTTTACTGTCGGGACTGTGATGACGCTTAACATTTCACTTGCTAGGCAAGTCAATGTTAGAACAATCTATCAATTTTTAACATTTTAAATTAATTAATGAGAAAGAACTGAAATAACTGAAATAATCTAAAGTAAAAATATGGAAGCTAAAACAGCCAAACTCCGATACAACCCTAGATCCGGTGTCACAAGTGCACATGCTACTAAGATAGTACAAATAAGGGTCTGAAATAACATACAACTGTCTGAAAGGAAAGTACACAGCTAAATAAAAAGGGAAGGGGACTCCAGGAGCTGCGGGCGTTGAGTAGCTGTACCTCAAGCTCCACAAGCTGTTCAATTCGAGCACGCTAATAACCGAAGCTGGGACCGACTCAAAAATCTGCACAAGAAGTGCAGAGTGTAGTACATTATCCGAGGGTCCCTAATTCCCTAAAGTCAAGGTTAAACTCAGCACTTACCTTACTCCGCACTCAATTCAGAGCGCTACCGGGGCCTTTTCCCAGAATCCGCCTATAAACCACTCGTATCTAGCCACAATTGATTCAATAATATCAAATATTGCTAAAGGAATCAAATACAATGCATAAAATTAGAATTTCCAAACTTTCCCCCAAAAAGTCAAAAGTCAACCTCGGCC